GGGCGCGGGATGCGATACCTCATATCTACCTTTCATGGTGATTTTGTTGCGGTCGAAGCTGGGTATTTTTTTTATCCACCCAGCTATGCCCTATCTATCTTCACGCTTCGGCAGTTGTCATAGTCCGGTGGAGAACTGAAGCAAGCAGAGAGAGCCCACTTTGAAAAAAGTGGAGGGCCACGAGAAGACTTATTTTTAAGCATAAAGAATGCTTGTTTTATCAAAATATCTATACATATACATACCATTGCCTCGTTGAAAACCCATTGCGACAACGTCGCTAATGGTAGAAACAGCAATAATAATGTCATGATCCGGTAACTTATCATGAAAGACAATGCTTGCCTTTTCATCGGGTTCAGAAGTGGCCGTGGTGATTCTTAGGAACACGCCCTCTCGACATTCTCGGAATACCTACAGTGTCATCCAGCGCAGACTAGGATCGTATGCCTGTTCCCTGCACGCGCTCACCTCCATACTCCTGAGGCCATCCTTAGGTGCAGTTAAACATGACTTTTTCCCAATCAGAACAATGCAAAAGAAAGTTAATTCTTCTCAAAGCCTCCCACACTTTTTATTCGGTGTTCGTCATGCTAGCGTCCACTCCATCTTCCGCGCGTCTTACCCCCACCCATCCCCCTTGCTTGTTTCGGATATGGGAAATTCGACATATGTCATCCATCTCAAAAGGACATGCCAATTGGGGGGAACGAGAAAAGAAAAAAAAAAAAGAGGCAATAGATGAAACAGAGCCTCAGCAATGAAATCTCGGAGCTTTCGCGCTCAACAGGGAATTGAGATGAGAATACGTACCAGGATAGTTAGCCGCAATTCGCCGCCTCAAATAATAATAGAAGTTTCCTCCTCAACCTTCGCAAGGTTCCTTGTTCCTATACGAGGAGTACCTTGTCTACGTGGATGGATAAGCTGCCAATCGGTGCGAGAGAACGCTCCTTGTCTCGAAACATATGCTTCCATTCAACTCGATAGGTTTTACTTTTTGATGTAACTACTAACTTATGTTAGTTAGTTGATAGATCAGAACTTTCTCAAATCTGCCCTTGACACTACACTATTTATTCGTTTAGATTACCATCAATCCGCAGGTTCATTTTTGAGCCGTTTGGCTGTGTCAAGCAAAACAATAGCTGTGATGACTGACCACAGATATTTGAAATAATATATTTTATATTTGCACGGATTGCCTCTCATCTTGCCTGTTCAACCGCGAGTAAGACCATGTGTGATGTCTGTTCTGCAAGTTTTTCTTTTTCCTCCTTTACTTCTTTTCTTGTCTCCTATTGGCATGTTTGGGTTATCCTGCAAGGATGACAAGCCGCCATGTTTTGAAAAGTGCTTGCATTGGTTGGCATCATATCACAAAGCTTAGCTACTGTACTCCCTGGGTCTGCTTATTTTTTAGAGAAAAAAACTTCATTTGCTCACATTTTTTTTCCAGGCATGTATCGAGGTTTTTGCACTCATCAATGACATACCTTACTAGGGCAAGCGAGGCCAAGTTCATCCAGTGCTTCTGACCTCTCACTAGATCATATCTCATTCGGAGATATTTTACTTATTGTTTTTGATGGAAGAGACGCATTCCAATTGGCTCTTTCTATCCTCCGTATTCGTGAGGCCTAGGTATTTTTCGTTGAGTTGCATAACCACCTCCCAGGCTCCCATTCGTCTAAAAGCATATATTATTGGCTACCGAACCTCAACTTCTATGCGGATTACGGCGAGTTTTGCTCGATTATGGCAAAGTTTTCAGCAACCTCTGAAAAATCAGCTTAGACATTCCCGCAGCGGTGTCCGGTGAGATACTGCAGCAGAGGCAGATGGGTTCACTGCTCACTTAAATAGAGGCAGCATCTTCATCAATTTGGCAATGCAGTCTAATACAATGGGGGGTATCAAAAGAAAGAAGAAGGTAATAGAGTAGCAAAAAACCCCGCTTGACTTTGTTTATCTACCGTAGTAAGCATTTTTCTTTCCCTTTATGTCCTATGTCTGTTTTCTCCTTTGATAATTTACTATCACAGCCACCCAATCAACCCATTCTTCTCGAGATTGATACTAAGTTTCAGAGAGAAATTTTGTTTTGGCTTCTTTGATGCTATATCTTTGAAACGCAGTAGTATTGAAGTTTTAATGTTAATAATAATGACTTATAAACCCTTACCGCAAGTTCTATTTATCAATCAATTACTCTGATTTCTCAGACTGAATGAATCTCAAATAGATAGATAGCTATTGGATTGATGGAACAATTTAGTGATGTGATTTTTTCTGTGTAAGCTTCTTCGAGGACAATATTCGCGGGCCCTTAAGGCAATTATATATCCTGTTGTACAAACTCTACAGGCCATATTCATGGCATAAAACTGAACCTCAATTTATTAGTAGTAGGGAAAGATCTGCACATGGCTACACGTTCATATGTCTATAAATATAGAGTTCTACACACAGGTAGAGGGGCATGTATTGTTAAGACAAGGTGCATCGCTTTCAATTGAGTGGTGCACATTTACCTATTCTGCGAGGTTCGTCTTCCTCCAGAACATTATAAGGCCGTTGTGAAAGTTTATCAAGGCTCCCTGCTTTTTAATCTATCTGGGTCAAGAACAAAATTAGGGGAAATATGTCCTTGTTTATAGACAGAAACGTGAAAGTTTAGTACATATAATAAAGGATTTCCCGAAATTGAGGGAATCAAGAGATAAAAACAACCGTGAGGTCAATGAAGGAGGACGCGGATATCATTACCTCACGCTGACCCATCATGGCCAGAGGTGGCAAGTCTGGTAGGTTGTAATTGACCATGCGATCATTCCCATGAAGTCGCCAGGACATCCATCTCACTAGGTAGGTCAAGGGCCAGTGGAGGAGTCAAACCACCAATCCCCTCGAAGTACAGAGGGGCGGCACTGGTATCAGCAACAGCGGCGGAAAGTAGGAAAAGAACAATCCATTGCACTCATGCATGACCTTGGCCCCTCTAGAAGTTCCACGCTGTGGGAGGAAAGGGTGAACAGCATTTATGACTCCGGGAAGCAGGAACGCCTATCGTTATGCTAGAAAATCATGATGGTATCGATGTTTCTTCTCGTTCAAAAGGGCATGGGCTATCACATCCCCTGTGAATAAGGCTATAATCAACTTCTATGCAAACATGGGACCTTTTTCGAGTTTTAACCTCAAAATTGAGCTATTCAGGTCTTCATGCTGCTGAAGGTATAGTGTAGCCATCAGACTCTGTGCCATAAATTAGCCCAAAAGCACAGCATAGAGACGATGTAGAGATATTCCAGGGTTTGAAGCACTTTTAGATATTATTATCATCGCTACTCCAAGTGTTCCCATGAGGAAGATTGAAAATGAGGCCAACATTTGCCCATCCGCCATTTTGCAGACTAGGACATTACGCGGCAGGGAATATATTGGTTAGCTGGCATCTCCATCAACAGTACAGTGGATGGACCAACAGGGGATGGGCCGATTTATGTTATGAACGGGGCAGCCTCGCGAATGTCGTGGGTGGCATGAACACATTCAACTTTTCTCATCCGCTAACGTCCACTAGAGAACCTCGCTGACGCCGGTCAAAATTGGATTCGGCATCAGCCATGTCAAGAAAAAGACCACAAGCATGACGGAGACCATATACTTCTAATGCTACCTGGAAAACGGTCGGGCGTCTCCATCTGAGGAAGATGGCAAAATAAGGGATAATCAGGTTGGCCGGTTCGATTATCAAATTAAGAACCGGAGGCCTAATTCATATGGAACCTTTAGTGGGAAAAAATCATAATTTGTGGTAGAATATATGAAAGTTCTTGCTTTAAGTATCCGTACCCGGCGTGCTGAAAGTAGTGGTGTATTTTGGGAGGTTATGATCTGGCCTCTTCCATTGGAATAAACAGTGGCCGAAATGTAATTCTCTTTCGTCAAATGTAGTCCAAGGATTTGGAGGAGAAAATGCAAGAAGTCAAAAGAGTGCACCAACATTAGACTTCGCCATCTGCACCTACAGTAAATCCTCACAATCGGGCGACCACTTCGCCATAATATCTTCTGTACCCTTTAATTAAGGTCTGAAACGTCGCACAGCGGCCGCAGCGGGTTAACAATCCTCATTTCTTGGACTGAAGAATCTGGCGCGTAATTTGCTGTAGCAAGACAGCAGCCTTATCCGCGATACTGGGCTGGAAGTCTTCCTTAAGGGAAGGGATTTTGACATCATTAGGGTGCAGATGTAAGATCTTACCCATGTAGTAGTCATTAATCAACCATTTGAACAAAACCAGATCCAGACAACTGGCAATGATAGCCCTCAACCTTGGGATTTCGTTATTCTAGCGTGGGTTGCCGTGCATCCAAAAATGTCGTGTCGTTTGTATATGTCTATCCCTGATAGAAATGGCCCTGAGAAGAGGGCTTTGTGGGGTTATTACACAGGCATTGAACAAGGGAAATGAAACCATGTCTACCGCCTCATACCCCCGGCGAAGCGGTAGCGGCGTGGGACATTAGACACCTATTAGGAAATAGATTACCGTATTCCGTCGAGCTTCAATTTGAGCTGATAAGGTGCGCAACTTTCGGAGCCAATCTCCACAAGGCGATTTTTGTAGAAAATTGAATTCGACAATAGGAGGTTGAAGGTTTGAACAGTAGATGCGGCGAAATGTAATTCCGTCGCCGACATCACTCACCTCAACTTCCCACTTCAATTTTCAGACAAACAGTGTGCGATATCATGCATTGAAGCGCCAATTGTGCCCGGAACACACATTGAAGTATATTATTGTAAGTATGATTGTACTTTATATTATTCATGGCGTCACTTGCCTGTTGCATCGCGTTTTCGTGGTTGATCCTGGTTCGCAACCGCTTACATGAGCTTTTTCCCTCCATAATTTTAGTAGTTTTCAGCAAGGGCTGAACTCACTTGAGCATCGCCATGACGATAAGATGGGGGTTATTCCTGAAAATTTGTTTGTTTCTATTATCATGTTGCTGTTTAAAGCCTGTTGCTAAGCTTTTTGTTTGTTCCATTTTTAATTTTGCTTGAATTATTGTCATGTCAAATATTATAACTATGTATTGACTGCTCAATAGCACCCCCGGATACATTCGAACAATTTTGATTTTGTTCATTCTTGATGACAATTCGATAGTATACCTCTTCTGGCCGCATTAGCAATGACACTCGGTGGAAATGGCCGCCTTCCGCGGTCTCTACTCCGAAACCTGGGAGCAATGTCACGCAGCGGTACGCTGCGAGCTCCCCGTTGTTCAATCCCACAGCGCTTTGGTCAAAGAGTTCCGGTATCCAGGTCAAATGTGCCATTTGGTTCAAGGAACACATCTTCAACTTCACCAGCTGCTCCAGTAAGTGAGGCTGCCACAGAAACTGCGAAACCCGCCGGTAGAAAAATGAAGAGATATTTTCTCGGAACGACAATCGTTCTTTTCCTCTGGGGCGGCTATCTCTATGCGACTGACACCCGGGCGAGTGCCCATCGGTGGATTGTCCCGCGCCTGATTAGGTGGTATTATCCAGATGCGGAAGACGCTCATCATGCGGGAGTGGATTGGTTGAAATTTCTCTATCAGTTTGGCCTCCATCCCAGAGAAAGGGGAAATCCGGATGGCGACGGCAAACTAGTTACTGAGGTGACATATTATCTCTGCGTTCTTTTGTCCCTTCTTTATTCATTTGAAGCATGTGTTGTCTAACGATTGAAAGCAGGTATTTGGCTATACCCTTAGCAATCCGATTGGGATATCTGGTGGCCTTGATAAAGACGCAGAGATCCCGTCAGCCCTGTTTGAGCTGGGGCCTGCCATCGTTGAGGTTGGCGGAACTACACCGCTTCCTCAGGAAGGAAACCCCAGAAGTCGAGTGTTTCGTATCGTCTCGCAGAATGCTTTGATCAATCGGTACGGGCTTAACTCCAAAGGAGCAGATCATATGGCTGCCGTTCTCAAGCAACGAGTTCGCGAGTTCGCCTATGCCCACGGTTTTGGATGGGGTGAATCTGCGGAACAACGGGTGTTAAATGGAGAAGCAAGTGTCCCGGCAGGCAGTCTAATCGAAGGCAAGCTTCTCGCCGTCCAGATTGCGAAAAACAAAAACACACCAGAGGCGGACATCGAAGCCGTCAAGAAAGATTACGTTTACTGCGTGGACCAGCTAGGAAAATATGCGGATATCCTTGTTGTGAACGTGTCCAGTCCAAATACCCCTGGCCTACGAACGCTGCAGGAATCAGGGCCCCTGACTGCACTACTTAAGGGTGTCGTCCATGCTGCAAAACGCACCAGTCGGACGACCAAACCTTACGTAATGGTCAAAGTAAGCCCGGATGAGGATACGGATGAGCAAATCTCCGGGATCTGCGACGCCGTCTGGGCATCTGGCGTGGACGGAATTATTGTGGGAAATACTACCAACACCAGGCCTGCAGCAATACCCACGGGCTACAAGCTGTCCGCCCGCGAGGAAGAGACGCTAAAAGAAACGGGTGGGTTTTCGGGCCCACATTTGTTCAACAAAACTGTTTCCCTCGTCGCGAGATATCGAGCGCTACTTGATAAAACCCCCGTATCTGGCGATAGTGGCCCTGACAGCACACCACCATCTTCTGAATCCGACGCTATGACATCACCGGCGAAACCCCACTTGGCTCCAAAAGTGATTTTTGCATCTGGAGGAATCACGAATGGCGAACAAGCTGCGAAGGCTCTTAAAGCTGGGGCTAATGTAGCCATGCTTTATACGGGATTGGTTTACGGGGGCAGTGGGACGATTACCAGAATGAAGGAAGAGATGCGAGAGCTGGAGGACAAGGCGGAGAGGTAATTGGATTGTTTGGGACACTTGATTTCTTTTCATTTTGTGTGACCGCGTACAGTGCTTTCGCTACGGAGTCTAGAAAAAGGGGAGGTCAAAAAAAGCATTTAGAAGTCCACATATTAGAGGGCAAACACGGAAACGGAAAAGCAACAAACAAATCAGTCATTGTGTTTTTCTTTTGATTTCCGGATATGATTGTAACAATGCCTTGTCTATAGTTCTGCTTTTCCAAGCCCAAAAACCTCATCTATAACATCAAAATACATAAGTGTGTGAATCATAAGCCATGGGTAAATTTTGGTCCCATTTCCTTCTTTCCTCGTCAAATCAAATAGTATATAGGGGACAAACAAAGAAAAAGAAACGGAGAAGGAGAAGGATCGACCTCCTCCACTCCAACGTTCCAAAGTTATTTGTCAAAAAGGGCAAAAGCGACAAAATTCCAGCCATCATCAAAAGTCTTCCAGAGACAAAAAAAAAAAAAAAAAACCCACTTCTTAGCAAGCAAACTTAGCCTCATACTCGCCAATAACCTTCACCTTAGCCGAGGAGGCACTGCTGGTATCAAAGCGATAGTTCAACCAGTCAGCCGCCAACTTCTTTGCCAGCTCGATGCCAATAACTCTCTGGCCAAAGCAGAGCACCTGGGCATCGTTGCTGAGAACGGATCTCTCAACAGAGAACGGATCGTGAGCGGTAACGGCACGGATGCCCGCAACCTTATTGGCGGCAATCGCCACACCCAGGCCGGTTCCACAGATCAGAAGTGCGCGATCGGCTTTTCCTTCCTTGATGAGCTGGGCGGCCTGGACGGCGACGTGCGGGTAGGCGGTTTTGTCATCGGCGGAGGGAACGCCCACGTCTGTGATGGAGGCGACGAGGGGGTTGTTTGATAGGTGGGCTTTTAGGGTTTCTTTGTAGCTGTGGCCGGCCTCGTCGCAGGCCATGACAATGCGGAGGGGTGCGGGAGTCATTCTGGGCGGGGTAGAAAGGGTTTGGATGGCGTAGTTGCGGATGTTTTGTGGTGATGTAGGTGATAAATTGGAGGCTTTCAAGAGGAAGCTCTGATTAGGTAGAAGATATACGGGAGGGGGGATTGAGAGATATGATTTTTGTACAGATGTAGAGAAGAGGCGGATGGAAAAAGGAGCATCAGCGCGATATATATACCCAAAAGTCTGACATCCCACATCCCACGTCGCTCTCTTACAAAGGACAAATAAAAACTGGAGAACTTTGAGAGCTACAGCCAGTGATTTGGCGGTGATTTGGCATTTCAATAACATTTTCATCTCCATCCATCTCCATCATCCCCTTTGATTTGAGCTGGATACCTCATTACTAAACGGCCGAGCGGCGAAATCTGGTACACCACCCCCATGGTCTCCATAGCGGTACGGAAAGACAAAAGCAAGGCCAACCAATGAGTGCCCGTGGAATATGAAGGCGCAGTACCTGAAGCAGCCTATATCGCTAGGTATTTTGCCATTAACATGGGATAGAGACGGATGTTTCTATCAATTGGCAGCGGCAAGGATGCTATGGTTATTGCTATGGAAAGCAGTAATGAAAAATAGCGCTCAGGGACCCTCTTGACCGTCTTTTGCATCGCACGATGATGTCATGGCGAGAAAAGAAAGCCACTCAGGTACACATACATGAACAGCGACATACTTACTACCTTTGCCTTTGTTCCCACCACATGGGCATTGGCGGTACTGCTCCAGATGTGTTTACCTCTTACCCATTGCCCAGTTCTTTTTCACTCCTCCCCCGGGATTTTTGGCTGCCCAGTTTCGCATATTTTGTGAGTAGAATATGGGCAAAAAAAAAAAAAAAAAAACCGGGATTCCCACAATAAAATGCCAAAAAAATAAAAATAAAAATAAAAATATAGGTAACTTAGGCAACAGGTCCGAATCGAAGGGTAATTCTGGATAATAATAATGGAGGGAAAAGGGGGATAGAGTTTATTGACCCCAGCGAGAGCAGCATTTATTATGGAGAAAGTGGTGAAGGAAAAGTGGAAAGCCGTTGCATTTGCGAGGCCTGGTTGAATTCGGAAGTTGATAGATTACCTGCATCCAACTGAACGCTTTCAGCAGCGTTTCCTATATGTCCTTAAATGGGATGGATATCAGTATCCTTTAGCCCCAAGGGCATATTCTTCACACTACTCTCTAAGGCTTTTTTCTTCTCATCTGCCTTACAGCTCTTCGGGTAGCATTTTAGCCAGCAATTAGGCGCAACTTTGCTCGTCTTCTGGCTCGACTCGCGGCTATGCTTCGATTGCCGACGTATTTTATCCGGTAATAAATGTATCGTTTTCAAAATTATCATAACCTTAGCCGACCCACGTATGGGTACTGAAAGATTGCTAGTTGGCGCCAATTTTTTTTCGCTCCACTTTTCCTCGTTTCACAACTTCATGCAAACATGAAAAACAATAATAAATAATTATTTCCGCACAGACTACGGAGTACTCTGTAAGTGATTCACCTTGGCGAGAATTGCTGCTTGCATTTTGGATTGCAACTCCACCGGCTAACTGAATCCGGCAAGCCGGTGTGGGTAAAACAGTTCTGATACTAGCAAGTTTGCCTGACGATCTTGGTACACCGAAAGTTACCGGCGCACGTCCGGCATTTAGATCACGTGGTATATACCTGATCGGGATTAGTGAGGGGCCTTGCCGGAGCTTCACACCAATATTGCCGAGAAGGGACCGATTCTGATACCATTTTCTGCAATTGAGAAGTCAATCATTCATATTAAAGCTATCTTACAAGTGTACTTCTACCTCGCCAATACACGTATTCTAGTGACTATCTAATAATTAACTGCTGCTCAAAAAAATAATCTTACGGAAGAGAAGACTCAAACGCCCGGTCATCCAGATAGAACCAACTGTTCCTCCCTAATACAAAGATATAGGAGAGAACTGAAGAAGAAGACGAAGCAATAGACCATCTTTATCCACCTATCATCCTTTCTTCAAGAAACAAAAGTTCTGCGAAAATGGAGGCTAGACCTTCATACCCCCTCCTACCCAAAACCCTTCTCATAATATCTCTCAAAATGTACTTCACCCCTCCTCGCACAATCACCTATCTCCGCGACCTCCTAGACCCCCAAAACGAAATCCTCCGCCCAGAAAACCGCTCGAAGCTCCTCCTCGCCCTAATCCCAGACTTCCTCACCATATACCCTTGCTCCGAAATCCTCCAATCTCACTTCCCCGAACTACAGCAACCAAGCCAAAAAGGCCAACAACAACATCAACAACCACCCCCCTTCCTCCTCGGCGCCCAAGACTGCTTCTGGCAACCCCTAGGCCCTTACACAGGCGAAGTCTCACCATCATGTCTGCAATCCCTCCACGTCTCGCTAGTTGAACTCGGCCACGCCGAGCGGCGCGCCCTCTTCCACGAGACCGATGAGCACGTGGGCCGCAAGGCGGCCGCCGTGAGCGCCCAGGGTATGATCCCGCTTGTCTGCGTGGGCGAAATTGCTGCCCCAGGCCCCGTGATGGCAGACGCGGTCCGAAACGCCGTTGCTGAGTGCATGGTGCAGGTTCAGGCGGTGCTGGCGGCGGCGCCGAGCTATGCGCCGCTGATTTTTGCGTATGAGCCTGTCTGGGCGATTGGGAAGCCGGTGCCGGCGAGCGTGGAGCATGTTGCTGGTGTTGTGGGTGGGATTAGAGAGGTTGTGGGTGGGAGTGGGAGGGAGGGGGAGGTGAGGATTTTGTATGGAGGGAGTGCAGGGCCTGGGTTGTGGGGGGAGGGTGGGTTGGGGAAGGTTGTTGATGGGATGTTTTTGGGGAGGTTTGCGCATGAGGTTGATGGGGTGCGTAAGGTGGTTAGGGAAGTAGAGGAGACGTTATAGAAGGGCTCTCGTGATTTGAGTAGTAGATATAGCTTATTGACATAGTGACCATGTTATCACAAACGAATGAGCCCTTCCATTGAAAGTTCTGACTAATATCTATTTTTCAGAAGGGGGTCAAATGTTCTTAATTATATATAGATATTGTAAGTGGTGAGGTGCATGCCTTATGAGTTGAATCGATTTTAACATCGTAGTTATTTCTTAGTTATTTCTTAGAAGGAGAGATGCCTTGAATATATAACTACATGGATGTCGGTTCCATAGTAATGAATTCGTAGTAAGATCAAACAAAAAAGCCAAAAAGGAGAAAATAGACAAAGGGGGAAGAAAGACGAGATTGTGCACCAAGCAAATCAAAGCACAGGAGCAAACCATGAGAGAACTTCCTTCAATAAATACGTTTCTTCAACATATATAGGCCTTCAACAGGATTTGCTCCTTCAATAGGTATACCTACTTAATATATATACCTATTCATTCTAGTTTATCAACCTTGCAGTAATAAACACCCTCTTCTAAATCGCATCGTCCGGCCCCTGAAGAATAAAATCCACCATCTGATCGACAACATCTGACCTCACTTGCTGAGTGATAAGTCGACGGGTTACCATAGCCTGAAGCGCATCCCCACCCAAGTGTTGACAATTCCATTCCAAGGCATTTACAATGGGCACTTGCTGAAGGATCCCCAAAACCAAACCTGGATGCAGGGGTAGACTACAAACTGGCACCCTCCCGACTAAGTTGAGAGTGTGGTGGGGTTGTAGCCTAGCCTCATTTCAACTTTCCAGGAGTCGTCGAAATTTGTGGCGTGGATGAGGGTTCCTAGTATTTCGTTGACTTCATTCACAAACAGGGACGCGTGATAGCTGGATTTCTCGTCGGTGTACATTACAATGGTCCGCGATAGGCATGGATGGTAACAATGGTAACAGTAGGATGAGAAGGAGAAGCAGCAGGCATTCCGATGTTTCTACGGACGGACAGTGTGGGTGATACGGAGAAAATAGTTTTCTTGCGGAGTGCGGATGGTGTTCTGACTGAATGTAGTGATTGAGCGAGTCGAAAGGACTAATTCTTGACGGCGGAGAGTTCTTGGGTTGCAAGGGCTGTTTTTGGAACAACATCATGCAGGGACAAGCGTCTCTTTACATTCTCCCATCTGGATATGTGCAAAAGGAAAATAGAAAGGTGCTACCACCGAGCGGAGCCTAGGTCTTTTTCTATTTTATTCTAGGCCAGCAACGGTGAACACTGATATCCAATAGTTTCCGAGTCTGGTCAGATTGCCCAGGGATTTCCAAGTCTAAAGATATCTTCCATTTCAGGGGAGGTTACAAAAATGGAGATGAAAGCAGAGACAACGAGCAAGAGTGATATCGCGCTCTCCAATGGACTGATAAAGTGGTAGGAAGTGTTATCAGTCCAAAAGAACATCCAACCGGTTTCCCAAATAAGCGCCAGCCTTATTCCGGGGAACGTTTCTTGTTGATCTCAGGTGGAAGAGCGGAATCGGGAGCGCCGATGTGTCTCAAGATAGCCAAGATGCTGGATTGAAAGGTTGATCTCCAACGGCCCCACACGATGTTGGGAGCCTGGCCTTGTTAATTGAGGTTTGGCTGGGAAGTCTCCGTGCGATGAAACAATTATGGGTGAAATAGCGCTTTGCGCTGAGGCTGATGACATATCGAGTCATGCCAGCACTTCCCTACCACCATGCAAGGAGTTACATGGGGAAACAACAGCTGATGAATTAATACTGTGGAATGTACCCAAGCCTTGATCAAAAGGCTATGCAAAGAGCTTCTCTAGCATTAGTGGTAACTAGAATATTTCAGCTAGTGCATATTTATTGATCTATTAACACAAACAAGGCACTTAAAGGGAATGTTCACTCACATACTAGGCTGCATTGCGCTGTTAGGAATGAAATTTCGGATTTCTGATGTTTCATGGGTGTGCCTGTAAAATGTTTGGAGGTAAAAAAAAGGGGCACATTGATATAGTTAGCATAATAGCGGCCTGCTCTTACTGCTTCCCCTCTCTTCCCCATGTCTTGAACCGGCTATTTTTCATGTTGAAACAAAGCATTTAAATACATGTAGTCTAGTGGCAATACTTCGTATAAGACGTCGAAAAAAATCTGAAAATTCAAAACACATCCATCGCCTACCCATCGCCTGAAATGTGCGATAGATATCCCATTGTTACAATCTCCTGTGCGTACTTGAAGGGAATAATATGTTTGAGATAGGGGTTATAATCTTTTATCCCAGGGTTTTCAGTAAGCATCCTATTCTGGTCCCAATACTCAGGGTACCAACCTGCTCTATCTCAGTCCAAAACCGCCTTGACCATACCATTTTCAACCATGATATTGCGCGGCGAGAAATCGCCGTGCGCAAAATGGATTTCATGGTCATCTGACATCGCGGCTCTCGCGTAGCGCCTGAAGACGGACAGATATTCATTACCATTTTTCTCAACAAGGAAGTCATTAAGCTCTTTCTTAGAGTCAAAGGGGCACCCCGACGAGGAAATCGAAGCCCAGCGGTTATTGGCCCACCATTCGCGGCCTCAATGCGTTTTGTCTTGCTTGTTAGGTTTTGGAGCTGGGAGAGATAGCCGCGGAGTTGGTGGCAGACAGACATTCTCTGGTCGTGCGTGAGCTTCCCCCATGCTGTATCAAGTGATTCCCCAGGTATATATTCCATGACTATTTGAGAAAGCCTGGTTCTGTTGCCGGACCATCTAGTCTCGTAGACTTTTGGGACTGGGATTGTGGTGTTGGTAGCGATGAATTCCATAGCTTCAGTTTCAGAGCTGTCAGTGAGTTGCGGATTTCAGTACTCTGTGCTCATCGAGGCGGATGATTCTGGGAAATTCGGGGAAGTATCCAGCAAAGATCACTTGTCCGTAGCCATCTAATTGGTGGTTATCAAAGCTATCTTTGCAAAAATTTGAGTAGGAAGGCATTAATAATACCTTTGGGAGTGAATGGGTCCGAGTTCATGTTTAATCGTGTGCCACTTATGCCTGGCTTTTTGTCGCTGTAGTAGTAGTTGAATGGGAGACAGCTGGCTACTCAGTTGTTGAGGGGAAGTGGTGTTGATTTCTATCTCTAGCTGCCGGGTTGGTTTTGCACGCAGACAAGATAACGTTACTGTTGCGCCAAGGGCAGGCAATCTGCACCCAGCCCTACGCTTAGATTGGTGATATTTACGTACTGCAGCCTATCATAAAGATTTTTTTAAGATTTTGAATCAGAGATTGCTCAACTAAGGTGCATGGTGCATCTACTAAAAGCAGCGCCTCTCGCTACTCTCGCTACTCTTCTCTTGAAGATCTCTCCTTTACTTGCAAGCCTCCACTAATGTCTCTAATCCAACTATGGCTCGGCAGGATATTCCTCGGTACGGTACTCTGGGGCCGCGCGGGATCAAAGTCAGCCGTCGTATGTGCTGGTTTCTCCTTAATCTGGCATTATATACGGCATGGCGATAAGTGATTAAACCACTGTTGGCAGCTTCAGTCCTCATGACGCAGGAATAGAGCAAATAAGCCCGGGAGAGGCCGACGGAGGGAAAGCCTCCTCAATCGTTAAAGATGAGCTTTAGGGCTTTGTCACTTGGTGCATATATGATATATCGAACGCCTAGCTTGAAGTGGGAAGGAAAAGGTACAGATGAGAATTACCAATTTCAAACTAATATAATGCCGCTTCAAGCATACCGGCTGACAAATGCGGTATTCTTAAAGCAGCAGCTGATATAGTCAACCCAGGACTAGCCAGGCGGTTCTGAGCTTCCAAATGCTTCCAAAGGTTCTATGGAATGAGATATCAAAGGCCCCTCAAAAACAACATTCATTGTTTAAATTTTGCCATCATAGCACTGTCTGTTCTTGGCCACTCATTTTCAACATTCTGTTTGTTTTGTGGGAAGTTACACTCTGTGGACATGCCTAAGCACTCATTTGTCTTCACCTCGGTAGCTGCTAACCTTTAGTTGTATTATCTACATTCATTATTTTATACATAGTACTTCGAGACATTCGAGGGTTCGAGGAAGGCATCCCAGTGCATGACTGTCGGATAGACTTCCTTTCCTCTTGACACCACAAAGAACCAAATGGCATATGAGCTGAAAGCCAAAGGCAATGCGCGCTTTAAGGATGGTGATTTCTCCGGGGCTGAAGACCTCTACTCGCAAGCGTACGCTCCCCTTAATTCTTCTAAGAGATGGATACCCTCGCCTATTTACTGCAGATGTATTGGTTCTAAATTGATATGTGCTTTCATGCAGCATTCAGAAGAATTCCAACGACCCTTCTTTCTACAATAACCGCGCCCTAGTCCGAATCAAGCTCGAAAAGTGGGAGGGCGCTGAACATGATGCGCGCATCGCTATAGATCTCTACGGTCCAAAGAACCCCGCCGCCATCAAATCAAACTACTACCTCTCCCAATCCCTTCTCGGCCTCCAACGGCCAACTGAAGCCCGCGATGTGGCCCTGGCGGCTTACAAGGCTAGTATAGAAACGAAGAACCCAAATGCGGAACCGCTATCGAAGGTCATACTGCACGCCAAGCAAGCTATATGGGCGGCAAAGGAGACAACGCGATTACGGGATCAGAATGAGGCATTGAGGAAATGGGAGGAGTTACTTCAGGCCGATTATGAAAAGGAACTAGCCGAGTTGCGCGCGAGATTGGCCGCCGGGGAGATTGGGCAGATCGGGTTCGAAGAGGATAAGAAGGATTTGTTGGACGACACACAGAAGAGATTGAATATTATGAGGGATGTGTTTGCTGCCTCGGTGGGTGAGGATATGAAGGAACGGGTATGTATATATATTCATGCCCTATTTATTTTTATCCCTTTTCCCCGGGAGATTCTACTTTCGCTACCTCGAAGTTCATTTTCAAACTTAGTTCTTAAACTCATTTTTTTCCATCCTAGGTCGTCCCTGATTATCTCATAGACAGCATCTCATTTGAAATAATGCACGATCCTGTCGTCACCCCATCAGGCCACTCTTTCGAACGCACTAGCATCCTAAAACATATCCAGCACTCCCCCGTGGACCCCATTACCCGGGTACCCATGACTATCAACGATATCCGGCCAAACTATGCCCTAAAAGCCGCTTGTGATGATTTCTTGGCCAAAAACGGCTGGGCCGTTGACTGGTGAGCGTGACACACTTTTGAAACGATTTTACTTTTTACTTTTTCTTTTTTTCTACTGCAGCAGCATGATATCATATTCTTTAACATTGGTACGATACCTAGATTCATTTCCTTTTTCTATTCTTTACGGGAAATTGCAAGTACTGGAAAAATCTGCTTTTGGAATGCTGGCTCACCTCCCTGGTGGTCATCGATTTTAAAAATCTAACACTCCCTATTGTATTCCAACAATTCGGAAATTCAGCAGCTTCCTTTTAACTTTTCTCCATTTCCCCCCTTTACATGGTCTACGAATAACCGTGATTATTCTTTCCCCTTATATTTACCTTTGGCACAAGCGTGCTTGTGCTTTCCTAGCATCATTTGGCGTATAACGACGGTTATGGTTGTTTGATAGAATAATATTCTAGCGCTTGCGGTTTTTGGTATTACTCATACGCTCCCAGATATCCTTTCTTTTCGCTTTCTTTCCCTTTCTTCTTTTTTCAATTCGTCTTTTTATGAACAATGATGAATGAATGAACCATGACGTAAAAAGCCTGACCTCCCTATTCTTACTCAAGCTTCTCGAACGAATGAAGCAAAATATTGCTCATTTCTCTTCTGCTTTCCATTATCCAGTACAGAGGAAACTAAATCCACTCTCCGCGTAATCAATTAATTCCAATCCTTATCCCTATATGTACATACATATATAAAGGGCGCCTGGGTGATATGACCTCATCCCATTGAAAAGTCCCGGCTTACTCAGCTGACTGCCCCGCTCCGCGCCCCAACCTTGAGGACTTTCCCCTCCAGAAAGCGCTCAACGAAGTTGCTTTCATTCCCAATGATATCAAATAGTTGAAACTTTGACTTGGTTTTTTCTTCTTAAAATAAAACAGCTAATTGTGAGTGTGACTGGCACAAATCATTCTGTTTCCCCGTGCATGCAAATGCAGACCTTGCTCTGATCTACTGGCATGATCAACATTGTCATCACTTGAACAACACCAGCTGCAAATATACACCAACCTGGGGTTTAATACTGCAGATCGAAACTAACCTGACCCCTAACGCAGGAAGACATATATTGTTACTACCTTGCTCTGCTACTTCGAAAGGAACAAGAGACGGAGTTCCTTTACGAAATCTCTTTTCTCGTCTTACCGCAGCTTCCTTGTTCCTCACCCCCCTTAATACCACTTCAACATTAAAAAATAATGGCAGTGTCAAAGTCTCCCGAGTTCGAAGCCGCCGTTGAGGCGAGCCGGAAACTGTCCACAAAGCCCAGCGATGACGACTTGTTGGAGGTTTGTTTTCTTAATTCATACGTTTGCGGTATCGGGTTTTGTTCGATGGAGAATCGTCTTCTCCCGCCCCCCGCCCCCCACCCTGGGGGAGGAAAGAGGGTGAACATAACAAAGGAGTGGAAGAGACGAGGGATGCAGGTTAATAGCGTACGACTCTTCTGGCTAACTTGTGACGTCTACCTGTTTCAAATAGCTGTACGCACTTTTCAAGCAAGGAACCCAAGAACCTCCCTTTGAAGAGGCTCCCAAGCCTGGAACTTTTGACTTTAAGGTATGTGGTTAATGAGGAGGCTGGGGTTTGGTTTTTATCTCATATACGTGCCGTGCTTTAGGTTTGGATAAAAACTAGGACAATAAAGATGCTAACAGATTCTTTCTCTTCTACCCGTCTTTCAATCTCCTAGGGCAAATACAAATACAACTCCTGGAAAAAGGTCGCTGATGAGGGCCTCTCCTCCGAAGATGCACAAAAGCAGTACGTCGAACTCATCGAGAAGCTCAAGGAGAAGTACGGATATGACGAGGGGAAGGAGCCGGAGCAGGTTGGAGGGAAGTAGACAAGAGTTATCCACTAGAAATTGATTGGATGTTTTCTAGCAACTTGCGGGACATTCTTGGGAAGCAACTACCTAGTAGACGCTATGTCATGATCCTTTCCTTAGGCGCAGAGGCAGTGACTTTCAATACTTGTTAAATGAGGCATGCGTATTCGATGTGGGATCGGGTTTCGAGAGTTGAGTTTAACAATTTTAGGTAACTTTATTGCATTACCACTACATCTTCACCCTGGTCCCTTTAGCAACATGACGTTAGTTGAAAATCCTTAACAATGATTAGGTTTCCAACGTGTTCCGGAAGCCTAATTAATATTCGCTGTCTAGTCATTGTCCTTAACCTGTGGTCTAGATATGTGGTTGGCCATGAGCTTGCTAGCACCCCTTAGGAGCGATCGTGACATATGGATTCTGTCAACCCTGTTCACTTCTGGGGAGACATGCCCTTTCGGCTGAAACAAATCTGCTCTCCTTGGGAGTGTTCATCACCTTGGCATTGAATTGAGGGTTTATTTCGTTTCACTAGCCACTACATGTGCGAAAGAGATGAGTCCAAGAGAATGAGATATTAACTTCCTGATTAGGATTTCAGGGTGAATTGCTATAGATAATAAGTTGTGGGAAGTTGGGACAAAGGCATGAGATTTCATTTCAGACGCTGGAGCTGACATATTCAGTGATCTGTTATTAATAACTTGTCAACTCAACCTCGTCCGGTGAGTCCTCATCAACGGGATCTACGGAGCACCATTATCTACGGATACTATTACTGATGGTACTCTACAATTGGTATTTGATAATAGAAAAAAAATGATATGCAGGCGCTGTAGGATGGATGCTAGGTTTTATCACTTTCCGCGTATTGGAAGCTCAGATGGGTCTGCTTATATGCTTCTATCTAATCAGAGTGCTTCAGTGAGAGACACCAGTTGCAACTGCGAGATTCTGGATAATTAATTACTAATGTTACATCCTCTATGTCGTTTGTGCGACCACTATGTCGACATTTGGCAATGGGGCATAGGATTACGGAGGCTCACAGTCTTTGCCACGTTTTTGCATATATCCCCCAGCTCTGAGAAGTGCATAAAAACACACCATATGGCTCGATTCAACCATCTCATAAATTCCTATCTCTATCTTCATAGGAATCATGGCCACTAGCAAACCCCAACGGTTCTCCGAAGCCGATAGGGCACAGGTCATTTCTGCGCTCCCTGAAGGCGACATCCCTATCACAGACCATTCAATGGATGCTGATGAACGTGTCATTGTTTCTCTAGGATATAAACAGGAGTTCAAGCGCGAGTTTTCCCTCTGGACCACTTTCTGTGTCAGTTTTTCAGTTCTTGGACTTTTGCCATCGTTTGCTAGTACGCTATGGTACGGTATGATCATCCCGATCCCATTCCCTAGTTCAGGAAGAGGATGATGCTTTAAAGCCCGGACATTTAAGGCCCATGTGTTGGTGATCTAATTAGAATTAACTGCAGGTATGGGATATGCGGGTACCGCGGGAATGGTCTGGGGCTGGCTTATCGCAATGGCTTTTATCCAATGTGTTGCCATGAGTATGGCTGAACTCTGCTCTGCAATGCCCACAAGGTAAAGTAGCTCATTCTTCAAGCTTTGCTAAGTTCAATATCAGGTTAACTAACCTTAAACTACCGCTCTAGTGGTGGCCTTTACTATGCAGCAGCAGTTCTAGCACCGCCCATGTACGGCCCTTTCGCTGCTTGGATTACAGGATGGTCCAGCTGGATAGCCCAGGTAATGGGAGCTCCATCTGTGGACTATGCCACAGCAGCCATGACTTTGGCTGCAGTCTCGATCAATAAGCCAGACTACATCCCGACGGAGTATCAAACGTTCTTACTCACGACCTTGATAATGATTTTTCATGCGGTTCTTAGTAGCATGCCGACGAAATGGATTGCCCACTTAAATTCGTACGGGTCGGTCTTCAACATCATCGCCCTTGTGATCGTCCTCATTGCCATTCCCATAGGAACGACTAACTCTCCCAGGTTTTCCTCACCCTCAGAGGTCTGGGGAAATATATACGACGGCACCTCATATCCGAAAGGCCTCTCAGTCCTAATGTCTTTCGTCAGCGTCATCTGGGCGATGTCGGGATATGATTCCCCATTCCATTTGAGCGAGGAATGTTCGAATGCGAACGTCGCATGTCCCCGCGCCATCGTAATCACTTCCAGCTTTGGTGGGCTTATGGGATGGTTCCTCCAACTTGTCGTTGCCTATACAGTTACAGATATTACAGCAGTGCTGGAATCGGACCTAGACCAGCCGTGGGCGTCGTACTTGTTCCAAGTCATGCCCCATAAACTAGCAGTTGCCATCCTCGCCCTGACAATTATCTGCTGCTTCTCAATGGGCCAGGCATGCATGATTGCCGCTTCCCGCGTTACATATGCATATGCTCGTGACGACTGCTTTCCGTTATCCAATATCTGGAAGAAAGTAAACCCGTACACCCACACACCCGTCAATGCCGTCTGGTTCAACTGTGTCATTGGGATATTATCTTGTCTGCTCATATTGGCGGGAGATATTGCCATTGGCGCTCTATTTTCTATTGGAGCCATCGCTTCATTTACCGCCTTCGCTATCCCAATTGGCATTCGAGTTCTGGTTGTGAAAGACCGTTTTCGGCCAGGACCCTGGAACCTGGGGAAATATAGCACCCCCATAGGAGCTGCGGGAGTTTTGTTTGTCATATTGATGATTCCGATTTTGTGTCTTCCGGCAACGACTGGATCGGAACTGACGTGAGTGTCTACCCTAGCTGCACATTAATTCACTTTTTCTCCCTCCATTTCCCCTTAAATTCTCCAATCCGCCTATACACACTGACCCACCTCCACTGTCACGAATCAGCCTCAAGGACATGAACTGGACCTGTATCGCATACGGTGGCCCAATGTTCCTAATAACCATCTGGTGGTTCATCGATGCGCATAAGTGGTTCAAAGGCCCTAAAGTCAACATCGAGCATCGCCCGCAGTTGCACGGGGAAGAGGAGCCCGTCGTTGCAAGTATTGTAGCCGATCTGAGGAGTACCGAGAACAAGAGCACCTCCTCTGCTTCAGGGAATGATGTTGAGAATCTTCAGGTAAAGTGATAGGCTTCGTTTCGTCTGTTCCAACAACTTGTTTCATTTATTGAAGGCATATATGGTTATTTCATACCATATGGCTATGGAAAAGGGGAGGGAGAAAATTTATGGATGGATAAAAGGATTTCGAGAGAGTTCATGGAGGTTATAGAAAGAGGGTATGTATATCTCCTCACTTTTCTTTTCCTCTCCACGCTTATGCCTCGCATCCACACGTGGGGCTGAATATCAACCTGTATTGGGGGGCGAAGGGGGGGTTCTACCTGTGTCTTTATTTTTGAAAGGATGAAGGGAGCAGCACCTCCTATATTTCGGGTCCATTGCTTTCCTCCCAAGGAAATGATTGGTTTATTTTAAATGCTCCTTCAAATCCCGCCCACCACCACTCCTTCAGAAATAATAGCGGGATAGGACATCTATACACTCAATTCACAAAGCAAAAAAAAAACAGGTGAAACAAATAGAGAAAATGCCGAATTGACCCTTTTCGATGTGCTTTTCGTAATTTCTGCGTACAAACTGGGGGAAACAAACCACCGCATAATAAATCTTCGGGTTTTGTATACTGCACTTGAAGATGAGTGGTAACTTGTAAGAAACAAAATACCAAACAAATTCAAGAAAAAAAAATTTAACTAGAACTGATATTTAATCATCACATTCCTTCTCTTCATTTTTTACTTTGGCAAGAAATCTATTCTTGCTATCTCCAATTTATATATATATATATATATTATTTTTATTTTTATTTTTATTTTTATTTTTTTTTTAAACTTGTACAGGCTATA